ATTCCATACCTGTGTTCGCGTTCTTCTTTATTGGTTCTACCTTGGACTATCAAAGTGGTACAAGGAACCGGACCATAACAGTAACAAAGAATACAGAGATTTCGACCAATTTTATACTCATATCTTTTCGGAACTTCGACGAGGTGTAATGGTTAGCAAGCTTGTCTCGCTAGATCAGTTACTACAGTGTAGTGAGTTTGATCCTCACTAGGTGCCGCATACTTTCGGCCGTGTGCCACATCTAAGCTACGCTTAAACAATCTTTCTAGGGCACTTCGAGATGATGTAATGGCTAGCAAGCTTGTCTCGCTAGAACAATTACGACTGAGAAGTGAGTTCGATCCTCACTAGGTGCCCTATGTCGGGTTTATATTAGAGTGAAAAATGTGGACAGAATGTCAGTTTTTTTTTTATTAGAGTATAAAAGGTGGACAGAATGTCGGTTTTATATTTGAATGAAAAACATAGGCAGAAGATCGTTTTTATATTAGAGTGAAAAAGGTGGACGGAATGTCGGTTTTCTGTTAGAGTTCAAAATGTAAACATAGGCCCGGTTTTATATTAGAGTGAAACACGTTGACAGAGGGCGGTTTTTATATCAGAATGAAAAACCTAGAGAGAGCCAGTTTTATATCAGAGTGAAAAAAGAGGACCTGATTTACACTAAATTGGAAAAGGTAGTCAGATGTCCAGTTTATATTAGAGTAAAAAAGATATACATTGATCTAGTTTATGCTCGAGTGAAAAAAAAGTAAGCATTAGCCAAGCAAATATTTAGTCCGTATCGCTATGGAGTAATGGTTAACGAACTTATCGCGAAGAACATTATTATGTTCAAGCCTAGTAGTACCTAGTCTTTGTATTTGGATTTCAAACGTATGGTTAGTTAATCTGGTTAATGTAAGGACATATCGGAACTTGGATAATTCAATGTCACATGCGAATCGTAGGTGATAAATCTCTCTAATTAATAGATAAAGTTAGAAATATAACCGGTTTTACACTAGACTAAAAAGTCAAGCATACACACGTCCTGTTTACATTCAACTACAATATTAGGCATACATAGATCCGGTTTACACTAGAATAAAAGGTTAGGCATAGTTCTGGTTTACACTAGAGTCAAAACGTTGGGCATACATAGGCCCGGTTTACACTCAACTAAGAAGTTAGTCATACATACGTCCTGTTTACACTCAACTGAAATGTTAGGCATACATACGTCCTGTTTACACTAGGCTAAAAAGTTAGTCGTACATACGTCCTGTTTACACTCAATTAAAAAGTTAGGCATACATACGTCCTGTTTACACTGAACTAAAATTTTAGGCATACATGCGTCCTGTTTACACTCAACTAAAAAGTTAGGCATACATAGGTCCAGTTTACACTAGACCAAAAAACAAGTAGACATAGGCCCTGTTTATACTTGAGTAAAAAAAGTTAGACATACATAGGTACGGTTTACGCTAGAGTTGAAACAAGTTGACATAGGTCCTGTTTATATTTGAGTTAAAAATACTTAGAGATACATAGGTATGATTTACACTAGAGTAAAAAAAAAGTACACAGAGTTCCTATTTATACTTGAATAAAAAAAAGTCAAACATACATGACAGTTCAAAATTTTGAGGAAACCCCTGCTAAATTTGTTTTAAATTGGCCCCCAAAGTAGTTGTTTTGTACTTTAAATAAGAGAAAAGTATTACACAGTTTAAAAAAGTAAGATATGATTTTTTTTTGTTAGAAATTTTATTAATACAAAAAGAAAAAAAAAGGATTTTATGATTAAATTTTGCTCTCATCAAAATATCCTCCTTTAGCCTCGATTACTGCAGCACAAATTTTTGGCATTCATTGAAAAACTTACTCAAAGTATAAGTTTGATAAATGATGTTTTTCAAGGTCTGATTATTGATTTTTTTTTTCGATGACTAAGAGCTATTTTTCATCAGAGAGACATTATTAAAGAAGAGAATAAAAGAAGAGGAATCAAGAAGACAGTCGATAACGATTGACATTGCATTATTTATTAATTATTAAGAGCTACAAAGAATATGAAGTTGTGGAGAGCCATAATTGCTTACGTTCTTTCTGAGGGTACACGGCACATGAAGAAGAATTTTCTTATAAGTTTCAGTGCCTTCGCTCGTCAGGTTACTTTTTGGCCTGTACGAAAGCGATTGATTGATTTGTTTGTTTTTTTTACGGTTTATCAACTCATTGGGTTATTTAAAGCCGATACATATTGTAAAGATAATACATTTTTTTCGAGTGAATATTGCGTTAGCTACGTTTTGGAGATAAAAATGATTTTTTTCCAGATACAAGTCCTAATATTTAACCCATACCTGGGGTGGGGGGAGGAGAGATGCATTCATATCTTTCCAAAGGTATTTATGCGTAAATAAATGTTCTTCGTCTTTATATCATGAGCCGTTATCCATTACACCATCCGCACACCCGTTTCATTTCTATTTAGAGTGGCTTCATTTCTTTTCAATTATTTTCACGTTCTCACTGTTGACTCGATGGAAAGGTGCGAAGCATACTGCTGTTAAATTCTTTAAATAGCAAAAAAACAAAAAAACAAAACAAAAAAAACAAACAAACAAAAAAAAGCAAAAACAAAAAAAACCCCAAAACAACAAAAAACAATAAGGATTTAGAACTTTGTATTGCCTTAGTTTTCAAACAAAGTACAGATTGTACAAATCGCAGGTAGTCTCCATTCTCCTATACGGATGTGAAACTTGGACACTGTTGGTATATACAGAAGAGAGAAGGATCCAAGCGTTTAAGAACAAATGCATGAGAAAACTCCTTGGCATCTTCTATTGAAAACATAAAACCAATGAGTTTGGGCGGGAAAGGGTTGAAAGTTTTGTGGCCCACCAGGAACCACTTCTCGCCATTGTCAAACGGAGAAAAATGGCGTGGTTTTGGACACGTTACAAGGCACGACAGCCTGTGCAAGACCATCGTGCAAGACACCGTTGAAAGTGGACATAGGAGAGGACACCAACGCATAAACTGGTTGGACAATGTCAAACAACGGACAGGTATGACTATATCAGAATTGCTAATGGCTGTCGTTGATAGACCGTCATGGAGTAGATTCAATATGGCTTCTGCATTCGGATCTCCTCCTACGATTACCAAAGTCAATGAGATGATGATGATGATGATGATGATTGCCTTAGTAGTGATGTCGAAAAATTACCTCTAGGATTTCTGCAATTGTAGTTGAGCGTACCCATTTTATTCAGGGGTGAAACGTCGGGATAATGAGAATTCAAAAAAAATGGACGAGTGTTCCCCAATGAGGCTAGCGGCATGATTTATATTCGTTTCCATGGTTAAGTTAGCCACGTAATACTAAGATATAATTAAATCGTGTAACCAGATTACGTGCCCTGCCTTCATTCGATCACGTGCAAAAATGACATGTTTCTGAACAGCCAATGACTGTCTGGGGTCAAGAAATACTGAGTGCGTTAAAATATTCTAGTGAGCCCTATCTACATTAGTTGTTGTATGCACGCTGAAATAAGATCACGAACATTATTCAAATGTGCCTTCGGATTTCAATTTCCATTTTCCCCACACGGTCTCCTCAAAGATGAAGAAGAGACTCGAGGCAACAGAGGTATGCTTCTACAGAAGGATGCTAAGGATACCATGGACCGAACATGGGAGCAACAATGAGGTTTTGGAGAGGATTCAAACAAGGAGGAAACTTATAAGAAGAGACAACTGAAATTTATGGGACACGTAATGAGAAAGGAAGGCTTGGAAAATCTGATACTCACAGGGAAAATAGAGGGAAAAGGGGGACAAGGGAAAGCAAGACGTAACATACCTAACGAGGTTAAGCAAGTGGATGGCAGAACAGGGTCTAGGAGATGTAGCAAAAAGATAACTTATTGAGAACTACAAGGGATAGAAGGAAGTGGAAAGCCATGATCGCCTATGCCCTGAAGGGACACTGCACATAAAAGAAGTGGTTTGATTTTGATATCTCTAATTTGTAGTTTGCATTTTGGGGTGTCCCTTTTGTTAGCGACCATACATTTTGTCTTCTTACATTTGGTGGTTTGTCCTTTATTACCACTTTCTTTTAGGAAGTCCGCTTCCCATGAATAATAAATCCCAATTTGACTTCTTAGTTCTTTCACGATAGATTGATTATAAATTGTTGCTCCGAACAGCAAAGCATATAATGAAGTTATGGCTATATTTAGATAAACAATAAAGTGGACAGAAATTTCGAGACGTTTGGGGTGGGGGCTGAATGCCAGCTGATCATTGGTGGATTGGAGAATCCCTAATAATATCGATTTCTCTTTGCTGCTCCAGGGATTTTAATCTATCACGCAAGGTTTAACAGAGAAAAAAAATGGCGGACAAAAACAAATTTATTATCTACGCAACGACCATTTGCTTTAAGAGACGGATGTGTATCTGTGTGTATGTGTTTTTTTTTTGTTTTTGTTTTTAATATATTCTAATTTAAACAGAGATCAATGAGACACATCGAGGCATTGGCGTGAAACGGACAGGAAGAAAAAAATACTTTGTGAAACTCTGAACAAATTCCGGAGAGAAATGAGATAGGCATTGGGAGAGAAAGATTTATCGGGTTTGTGTTCTTATGAGACATTTTTGGCACATCGACAAGAATACTTCTGTAGAGATGGAAAGGGAGGCAAACGTTTGATTGTGTCAGCTTTATAAATTTAAAGCTTTTGGATGAAAAATGTGAGAGACGACACATCCAAAGAAATACAGACGTATATTGCAGATAGATAGATAGATAGATGATGGGATTATATAGATAGATTAGAACTGATTGATATATAGATATATTAACACACTGAGATAGATATGAATAGAATGAGATTAAATAGATGGTTTTTCTACTGCTTTCTATTTCAATGATAAATGTCATGACAATGTTATCTGTGTGGTCAATCGAGTAGTTGTCCTCGTCATATTCGATGTCGTCATCTTGTCCTTCTATCTATCTATCTATCTATCTATCTATCTATCTATGTGTGTTTATATCTATCTATATGTGTATCTATCTATCTATCTATCTATCTATCTATCTATCTATGTGTGTTCCACATCCATCCATCTATGTGTGTCCACATCATATCCATCTATCTATCTATCTATCCATCCATCTATCTATATCCATCCATATCTCCATCCATCCATCCATGCATCCATCTATCTATCTATGTGTGTTCATATCTATCTATGTGTTCATCCATCCATCCATCCATCTATCCATCTATCCTATCCATCCATCCATCCTATCTATCTATCTATGTGTGTTCCATCCATCTATCTATCCATCCATCCATCTGACCATCCATCTATCTATCTATATGTGTGCTCACATCTATCTATCCATCCATCTATCTATCTATCTATCTATGTGTGTTCACATCTATTCATGTGTTCCATATCTATCTATCTATCTATCTATCTATCTATCTATCTATCTATCTATGTGTGTTCGTATCTATCTATGTATCTATGTATCTATCTATCTATCTAATTATCTATGTGTGCTCATATCTATCTATCTATCTATCTATCTATCTATCTATCTATCTATCTATGTGTGTTCATATCTATCTATCTATCTATCTATCTATCTATCTATCTATCTATCTATCTATCTATCTATGTGTGTTCATATCTATCTATCTATCTATCTATCTATCTATCTATCTATCTATCTATCTATCTATCTATCCAATGCGAAAATGTGTTCAATATCTATTTGAATGTCTTAATTAAACAAATACACTGTTTAGTTTGTCATTTAAACTCACTGTTACGCATCAGTCAACTTGGACCATACATTTAACTTAGTTAAGGAAGTTCATATCTATTTTCCGTGTATATTACTTTTAAGCGTGAACTGTTTATGCAGTAGCATCTCGTCATCCGCGGATCACAACCTCATTTTCATTTATCCGCGGTTGGTTCAACCTGCACAGTTTACGTGTTCAAAACACTTATTAAAACTAATTTGTAAAAATATATTTCAAAGGAATGAGGAAAAAAGATTTCAACATAGTATTCTAAAAATAATAAAATGTAATCAATATATATGTCCTTGATTACATCATAGTCTGAAATAATAGCTACTGAGCGTAAATGCTCAAATTATTAATAATAATAATAATAATAATCCTGTTCAAACTGTGCTTGTCCCACCATTAGTTAGTTTGCTCGGCCATTACGTCCTGCCACTGCCTGATAAATAATGGACTGTTCCGTTTTGATCGCAAGTGGAGGGGATAGAAGACACTACTTTGTTTGAGTGAGAATATGAAAGAAAGAAAGAAAGAAAGAAAGAAGTAGAGAGAGAGAGAGAGAGAGAGAGAGAGAATCACATTAAGCCAATATTAACAGATATTACACTTTGATCTTAGCCAAAATGCCTGGACTCGATTGTATTTTCTTGTATTTAATTATCAGGAGACACGGTGACGTAATAGATAGCAGCCCGGATTTAGGAACTGGAGAGCCGAGTTCGAATTCCTTACGTACTAATACCCTTAGAAAAGGTATGAATCCTAGTCTTTCCCACCCCCAGCTATGGGTAAATAGCAGGAAAGACATCCGAATGCTTCAAGCCAGGATCGAAACCCGACTGATTTCGATCTGGAGGCAGAGTGGAGTAATGGATAGCGGCTCGGATTGAGGAATCAGAGAGCTGAGTTCGAATTCCAGTCAAATCCATTACATTCACTTACATGCTAATACTCTTTGGAAAAGGTATGAATCCTCTTCTCCACCCAGCTAAGGGTTCTATAGCCTTGGATAACGACTGGTCAATCGCAGAAAGAAATGGCAACCTACTGCGGGAAAAGATCTGCCTCGTCAGTAATTTATCGAAAGATACATGATCTCCTAAGCGTGTATCACTCATTTAAAAAATCGTTTATAATATGTACCCTAACTTTTAGTTTAGATGTGGCACAAGGCCGCAATTTGGGGGCACCAAGTGAAGATCGAATTTAGTAGCTTGCTATCCATTGCACCACGTTGAATTGCCCTATTCCCTAATTTTAAGGCTTAAATATCGTCCTGGGTACGACGATAAACTATATCCGGCAACAAGCCATCTGATCGGAAGTTTTTGAGGAGAGTGGAACCACTGACCTGAAGTGGTAGCACTCGTTAGGGTTCTCGCTATGGGCAAATTGTTAACCCCTAAAATGGGGTCAAAACATTATGAAAATATAAAAATTATAATACAAATATCAGTTATACATTTTCATAGTAAAAGAAGTTACCAGCAATACATTTTTGTAAAAAAAAAAGATATTACCATCAATACATTTTTATAAAGGAAATTTATAATGCTAACAAGAAAATTAAATTTTGGCATTAAATGACCCATAAGGTGTTGATATGCCGCTAAAAAAGCAACAAACTTGTAGGCTTAAAAATCTGTACAAAAAAAAAAAAATGCGTATTATACACAAATAATAAAGATTTCGCTTCGTAGATCTTTTTATGAATCCGAATCAGTCTGTGAAATATATATATATATATATATATATATATATATATAGACTGTTTTTCATATTTGTGGGAGGTGAATAAATGAAATAATTAATTCAATATGACTCATGTTAGAGTCGATGTGTAAGAATATTATTATAAAGGAAGTTTCTAATGATCAATATTATAAAGGAAATTTCTAATCCTAACAAGAAAATTAAATTTTGGCATTAAATGACTCATAAGATGTTGATATGCCGCTAAAAAAGCAAACAAACTTGTAGGCTTAAAATCTGTACAAAAAAAAAGATGCGTACTATACATGAATAATAAAGATTTCGCTTCGTAGTTCTTTTTACGGATCCGAATCAGTCTGCGAAAAAATGTATAGAATGTTGTGGGAGGTGAATAAATGAAATAATTGAGTCAACATGACCCATGTGCGAGTCGATGTGCAAGAATATCATTATAGAAGTAAGTTCATATCGAACAGACAAGCAAACCCACTACGCCGGTGATCTCCGGAATGCGGGGATCAGTTATTGCGATGTCTTCCTCATTCATTTTTTATTAAACCTTTTATGGGACTCAAGGGATATCATGTTCATCAATAATCAGTACAGCGTTTTTATAGGTCGAAGTGATAGATCGTTTTTTTTTTTCGGGATGATGCTGGCCATTAAGAAATCTTCAAAACAAAAACAACTCGATGTTTGGGCGATAAATCAGAGCTGGCCAAACCGCGGCTCGCGAGCCACATGCGTCTCTTTCACATCTAATATGCGGCTCGTAAAAATATGGTGGCCGAGCATCTTTTTTTAATGACAGTTAATATAAAAGATAAATTGAAAAGAATTTCAAGCTGTATAATTATTTATTGGACTCATTAGATTAAAACGAAAGTTTAATGTTTATAGGCTAGTAACTGAGAGTGGAGTAATGGATAGCGACTCGGATTAAGAAATCCCAGTTAAATCCATTACGTGCTAATACCCTTGGGAAAGTATCTGTCTATATTTCTGAGATGAGGTATTATGTACACTATTTACATTATTCGGACTATTGTCCTCATTTTTGTCGCCATAGTTATTACAACGTTTCGGCCTTTCAGTATCTGTCTATATTTCTGAGATGAGGTATTATGTACACTGTTTACATTATTCGGACTATTGTCCTCATTTTTGTCGCCATATTTATTACAACGTTCCGGCCTTTCAGTGTCTGTCTATATTTCTGAGATGAGGTATTATGTACACTATTTACATTATTCGGACTATTGTCCTCATTTTTGTCACCATATTTATTACAACGTTTCGGCCTTTCAGTATCTGTCTATATTTCTGAGATGAGGTATTATGTACACTATTTACATTATTCGGACTATTGTCCTCATTTTTGTCGCCATATTTATTACAACGTTTCGGCCCTTCAGTATCTGTCTATATTTCTGAGATGAGGTATTATGTACACTATTTACATTATTCGGACTATTGTCCTCATTTTTGTCGCCATATTTATTACAACGTTTCGGCCTTTCAGTATCTGTCTATATTTCTGAGATGAGGTATTATGTACACTATTTACATTATTCGGACTATTGTCCTCATTTTTGTCGCCATAGTTATTACAACGTTTCGGCCTTTCAGTATCTGTCTATATTTCTGAGATGAGGTATTATGTACACTATTTACATTATTCGGACTATTGTCCTCATTATTGACGACATATTTATTACAACGTTTCGGCCCTTCAGTATCTGTCTATATTTCTGAGATGAGGTATTATGTACACTATTTACATTATTCGGACTATTGTCCTCATTTTTGTCGCCATATTTATTACAACGTTTCGGCCTTTTCAGTATCTGTCTATATTTGAGATGAGGTATTATGTACACTATTTACATTATTCGGACTATTGTCCCTCATTTTTGTCGCCATAGTTATTACAACGTTTCGGCCTTTCAGTATCTGTCTATATTTCTGAGATGAGGTATTATGTACACTATTTACATTATTCGGACTATTGTCCCTATTATTGACGACATATTTATTACAACGTTTCGGCCCTTCAGTATCTGGTCTATATTTCTGAGATGAGGTATTATGTACACTATTTACATTATTCGGACTATTGTCCTCATTTTTGTCGCCATATTTATTACAACGTTTCGGCCTTTCAGTATCTGTCTATATTTCTGAGATGAGGTATTATGTACACTATTTACATTATTCGGACTATTGTCCTCATTTTTGTCGCCATAGTTATTACAACGTTTCGGCCTTTCAGTATCTGTCTATATTTCTGAGATGAGGTATTATGTACACTATTTACATTATCGGACATTGTCCTCATTATTGACGACATATTTATTACAACGTTTCGGCCCTTCAGTATCTGTCTATATTTCTGAGATGAGGTATTATGTACACTATTTACATTATTCGGACTATTGTCCTCATTTTTGTCGCCATATTTATTACAACGTTTCGGCCTTTCAGTATCTGTCTATATTTCTGAGATGTGGTATTATGTACACTATTTACATTATTCGGACTATTGTCCTCATTATTGACGACATATTTATTACAACGTTTCGACCCTTCAGTATCTGTCTATATTTTTGAGATGAGGTATTATGTACACTGTTTACATTATTCGGACTATTGTCCTCATTTTTGTCGCCATATTTATTACAATGTTTCGGCCCTTCAGTAACTGTCTATATTTCTGAGATGATGTATTATGTACATTATTCTGACTATTGTCCTCATCTTTGTCGACATGTTCATTGATATAATGGAATATTTATCACCATATTTATTACAATGTTTCCTGCCGTTGTACGCTCCGGCCTTCTTCAGGTTATTGGAATGTCAAACTTAACTCTTTACTTCGCTCACTGGAGTAGACACTTCTATTTCCACTGTGCCAGTGACAGGACCCAAAGAGTGTGAGTTCAATACCCGGTTAAGGCAGTGTAGAACTTTCAGAGGGAAATTAACAGGAGATAATTGATAACTGACATCCGTCGAATATGGCACGTGGAACTAGAACATTCTACCCCAGTGAGCGAAATAAAGGGTTAAGTTCGACATCCCAATCACCTGAAGAAGGCTGGAGTGTACAACGGCCGGAACGTCGTAATAAATATGGCGATATAGATGAGGACAATAGTCCGAATATTGTAAATAACTACCTTGGGAAAGGTATGAATCCTCTTCTTCTCCTCTCCAGCTATGGGTAAATAGCAAGACGGGCCGGGTTC